GGTTTCGAACTCCTGAGCTCAAACAATCCGCCCGCCTCGGCCTCCCAGAGTGCTAGGATTACAGGCGTGAGCCACCGCGCCCGGCCCAAAAAGTTACTTTTTAAAAAAAAGTTTTACCAAGCAAGAACAAATCCTGACAGTTTTCGAGGCAAAGTAAAATAGAAATGTCACATAAGCCTAGGCAAAGGTCAATTCAACAGTTACTAGGCCGGAGTCTTTTCCCTTCTGTCCATAATGTTTTTCTGTATTGGGCCCAAATGTCTGAGGCTTAAACAGACAAATGAAAGATGTGAGAAACCAAATTTAAAAAAAAAAAAAGGATTCCATAGAACATAAGGACTAAGGCAATGAAAGTTTGATACTCTTGCTTTACGTAAGGGATAATCATGGTTACACTGATAATTAACATGTTTGAGTAAGACTCGAAAGTGCTTTTGGTTTTTCCTCTTAACAGAAAATATTTTCAAAACTTTTGTTATGAGGAAATTATCTTGAGAAAGATAAGAAAATCACCTCTGCAACTGAACATTCTTTTCTAGCTTCCAAACAAAGATCTCCACTTCAGATATAAATGCTTCTATTTTTAACATTTTTAAAATTTTAAATCAAAGCCTTATAGTAAGTTATTGATAAAGGACATAACAATTAATTAAAAAATGAATTTGCATAATGAAATCAATATTGCATAAAACAGACCCCAAACATATAAAGAGGAAATGCATCATATCAAATGTTCATTGTGGTCATTTATCCTGTACTTAAGCACAGATGACAGTTTCATAAAAGATAAACATTAACTTACTTTAGTGGGTAATGGACATTCATCTAGTAACAATGTTATAACAGCTGGTCCCAATGGATCTTCCAATGGAATAACTCTAATTAAAGACTGGACAACGTCCAACCATCCTTCATCTAAAAGCAAATCAAGAAGATTATATGATGGAGTCACTATTTTAAAAATGTGAAAATATATAACTTATAAAGTCACACAAGATGACTTCACATTAAAGGAAACACTTTTGGTCTTCATCTGCAGCTTTTATTTATTTATTTTGAGACAGGGGCTCGCTCTGTCACCAAGGCTAGAATGCAGTGGTGTGATCACAGCTCACTGCAACCTTGAACTCTTGGGCACAAGTAATCATCCCATCTCACCCTCCCAAAGTAGGTGAGACTACAGGCACACACCACCACACCCGGCTAATTTTTATTTTTTT